TAAGAGATGGAAAACTGTCATTTTAGTTTTGTAGTTATTATCCTCTTAGCACATGAGCAGAACTGATCTTTGTGCTGCTACTGTGCCTAAAAGCTATGAGTACAAGTTGGAAAGAAATAGCTGCTCACAAAAAGGAAGACTCAAGAGTGGAGGGATGAAATTATCATCTTCCTGTCATCCCATTATTTTTAGTATTAGGAAAACGATGGAAGAGAAATGTTGCTTTGAGAGCATGAGAGGTGCTTCAAAACTATATTCTCCTCACAGAAAATGAGGTTTCTGAACAGGATCTGTGGGCTTAGAGGAAACCCACTAGTTAGAGTTATAAGACCTTTTCTCTGGGAATTTTTCCCCCCGTTGTAGTGGTGGCTTCTTCTGCCTCCTGATTTTAGTTCTGAGTAAAAAAGCTGGCAACTTTTCCAAAGTTTCTTTTTTCCAGCAAGCACAGAGAATATGTGCAGGGGCATAAGCACCTAAGCATGGTTGTCTCAAGCATTCTGACTGTCTGCTGTTACAGGAAAGTTGGGATTTGGGAGGGAGTGTCCTGCTGAGGCAGGGAAGCGCTGTTGTGAGCCAGCTTCCCTTTCATTGCTGGGCTTGCTAATCAGCCTGGAGGCTCACGTTTGGTGTGCCTGCAGCAAGAGAAGGGTCAAGTCCTGGGCACCTCACTGAAGGGGCTCCCAGACCCCCAGCCTCCCACCTATTTCCTGAAGGGCTCTAAGGGCTCACTGTGCGTGTGCCAGAAGCAGCAAATGGTGTGAAAAATGAGGGCATGTGCCCTAGGGAAACTGTAACAGGGTCCTTCCTGGGCTTTTGTTGATCCCAGATCTGGACCATACCCAGTGGCAGGACCACTGTGAGATCTAAGGACTGGTGGTCTTTTCCCTTCACTTTCTCTATTTTCCATCTTTACTCTCTCCTCTCTTGTTCTATCCCTCCAAGTGCGGCAATCGGGTTTTCCCCCTTGCTCTGTGCTGGAGTTTGCTGGGAGAGTCAGGAGCTTGGTAAAGTTCATTGTTAAGTCAAGAGCTTGTTAGCCAACACTTCTACAACTAAATAGCAGGGTGGCTGTCAGAGTTAGGGTGGCTATATAATAAAGGATAAGAGTTCCCTGACACTGAACTGCTGTCTTTCTTCAGCCCACTGAGAAGTTCTGCTGAATTTTCGGGTTGTGACAACCCCTCCTCCTCACTTGAAAAGCATGGGAAATTTGCTTACACTTCCCAATAATAGCTTTTACTGTGAAGTCTTACTGGAACTATTGGTCCTTTTGTGAAGGAGTGTCAAGAGTGACCTCACTTTTCTTCCTGATAGTGAACTTTGCTTTCCTTGGATCAGTGCTATTGTTTTTATTGCTCTTTTTGTCCTGTGCAGCTTGGATCTTCCCTTGCAGCTCTCTTCTTAGCTCCCATGTTTTCTACTTCATATTTCTTTGAGGGCACAGAAACCTTAGAAGTTACATCAAAACTAATTAGGAGCTCATTCACAGTACTTTGATGCACTTTTCTGTGATGTCTTTCAATTTATAAAAGGAATTTTATTACATATATGTGAATATATGTTGTATAATACGGAAGGAATTTATGCAAGGGAAGCATCTCTCTAATTATAGCTCAAAATGAAGTTTGAGAGCTTTGGATGATACTGACTGTCACCTATTTTGGTCTTTATTAGCTATTTGTTTTCTTAGAGCATGCTGTAAGTTACAAGGTGTTTGCATCTGAGAACTTGGCTTTAGTTAGAGGCAGGGGGAGGGTAGTGCGTGCACTGGGTCCCTTCACTGAGACTTTTCAGTAGGAAAAAATACATGATAAATATTCTTCCTGTAGGTTCTCTCCACAGAAAGAAATTACTGGGGTGTGAATGCTGTGAGAATGGAATTGGAAACAGAGCTTGCAGATGAGTAAAAATGCTTCACAGTTTTGTTTCATGATGAATTATCAAGGATTATGGGTGGCTGTTATTTGAACTATTTTAACTTTGTGCTGAATGGCTCAATAGTAACACATTCAGTTGGTTATTTAAAAATACTGTAGGAGCAAGAGAAAAGCTCATTCTTTAAGTGAGTGGTGACTCTCCTTTGGCCTTGCAAGTAGAGCAAAAAGACACATTATGTATTCTGTAGCAGCAGAAACACTGCAACTGGGCTTTTTCAGTCACTTTTAGTATTGTCTACAGTACCAGTGGGTGGGGTTGAAACTGGAAGCTTTGGATGAGTGGAGCAAGTTGAAAGTAATCAAATATTAGTAGAGTATATTGGCTGTGTATCTTCTGTGCAAATCCCATTTCTGTGTATTGCATTAGCAAGGAAAGATGTAAGTCTTGCACTGTTACTATGAGTACATGAGTTATTTTCTTTAAGAATCCTTTCTGGGATTGGCAGGAGTTCTTTTCCAGCATTTCTAGTTGAGAGTCCAAAAAAATGGTTCTGCCTGAGCATTGTATCATTCTTGTGCCTGCCATTTGCTGGCCAGGCACCACAGCTAAGGGGGACTGGCTGCAAAAACCCAGCTGAGGCGCTGTCTTAAGGATACTGGAGGAAAAAATACATCCTTTTCTCACTGAGACATGTCTCAGATGGAGATTGTTTTTTGTATGGTCTCCTTGAGGGAGAAGTAAGTTTTGTAAGTGCCGTTACCATCTTTTTTCTCTTTCCTAGGACATGATGGAGCTCCTAGAGGAAGATCTGACCTGTCCCATTTGCTGTAGCCTGTTTGACGATCCTCGTGTCCTGCCCTGTTCACACAATTTCTGCAGAAAGTGTCTGGAAGGAATTCTTGAAGGAAATGTGCGGAATGTGCTTTGGAGGCCATCCCCTTTCAAGTGCCCCACATGCAGGAAGGAGACTCCTGTCACTGGAGTCAACAGCTTGCAGGTCAACTATTCCCTGAAAGGTATCGTGGAGAAGTACAACAAAATCAAAGTAACTCCAAAAATGCCTGTGTGCAAAGTGCACAGCGGGCAACCCCTTAACATTTTCTGCAGGACAGACATGCAGCTGATCTGTGGGGTATGTGCCACCCGTGGTGACCACACAAAGCATGTTTTCTGTTCCATTGAAGAAGCTTATTCCCAGGAGAAGCGGGCTTTTGAAACCTTGTTTCAGGGCTTTGAAACTTGGCGTTGTGGAGATGCCCTCTCACGGCTGGATACCTTAGAGACCAGCAAGAGGAAAGCTCTGCAGATGCTGACGAAAGATTCTGATAAAGTGAAGGAGTTCTTTGAGAAGCTGCAGCACACGCTGGAGCAGAAGCGAAATGAGATTCTGTCTGACTTTGAGACCATGAAGCTTGCAGTGATGCAGGCCTACGATCCGGAAATCAATAAACTGAACACGATTCTGCAAGAGCAGCGCATGGCTTTTAACATTGCAGAGGCCTTCAAAGATGTGTCCGAACCCATTATATTTCTGCAACAGATGCAAGAGTTCAGGGAAAAAATCAAGGTGCTTAAAGAAACCCCTTTACCTTGTTCCACTGTGGACATCAGTCCCACAATGAAGAGCTTTGATACCAGCCAGTGGAATGGAATAAAGCTTGTTGATGTGGACAAACTTTCCTTGCCTCAGGAAAGCAACACATTCAAATTCAAGATTCCCTCAGTCTTTTCACGCAGATTTGTAGTGAACTCTCTTATTTTCTTGCTCATTCTTGCTGTCACCAGAATGTCCTTTGTGGAGTCAGTCATTGACAATCTCCAGTGCTGGAAATCTCAGTTCCTTACAATTTGCTTGTCCTATTTGGCAGATACCGTGGAGATAGCAGATCATGCAGTCTTTTACTGGGAACAGATGACAGATGGAGCTTCACTGTTAAGAGAAAAGTGTAAAAACTATACACTGGTTGTACTGGATAACGTTGCACAGTTTGTGTGCAAATATAAACTGTTGTGAAGTGTCTGCTGGAATATAAGAACTAAGAGAGATCTGGGGGAGAAAACATGGAACTTCTTAAATTAATTGGTCTTTTCAGACTTCCAGTGAAAACATTTAAAGATTCAAAATGATTCCAAAACATTCATAATGTTCACATAGTTTGAGCACTGCTAAACCAGAAAATTAAATGGAGCTTTGAAAAATCCACTTTGTGGATTCTTCTTTCAGTGGTGATTATGGGAATATTACTCACTGTAAATCATTTTTCTTACCAAAATATAGGGCCAAATTGTATCTTTAGTGTGATGTTAATGTAATTGTAGAATAAGGTAAAAGATTGTAGTTTAAAAAAAATTCTAACTGGGAGATCGTTTGGAAAGAGGAAGAAGAGTTGTGACTGAGGTGAGCACTGTGCTGACAGGTTTGCTGAGGACTGTCCTTCCACTGCAAAATGCAGCATGCATCATTCACATTCTGGAGCCAGCTTCTATTTGACAATGTTACTTCTCTCTGAAATAGCTATATGTTTTGGTTTGGTTTTGTGGGGTACCATTTTTGTATAACCAAATATTGTAATTACCCTGTGCATTCAGATTACATGTTCTATACAAAAATGTATCTTCAGGGCAAGCATAAATTCTAGAGGTAATGATAAGAACAAGCTGCAGGATGGTATGTGCTTTGCAGATAGTTCATACTTTGCAGTTTACTTTTCCAACATCAAATTGTTGGTGTAGCTGGGCTGTTTTGTTAGTTCCATGTTTCTCTGAAGCTACACTTTCTTAAAAACTGGCCTTAACATAAAGAACTTAGTGCAGTGAAAGGCATGCAGGGGTCTGCCACAGGAAGGCAGCGTGGGCTCTAGCCCTGCAGAGGTGTCAGGTAAAACAGCTGCTCTTCTGTCCCTCTCTGCCTCTCCAGATTGCAGTTCCAAAAGCCAGGAAAAATGACTGGATGATTCCTGGAACAGGTTGTGGGATACAGTGGGTGTATGGATGTTGGTGGTGTTTGAAGAACCTTGTATAGGTTCTTCTGCTGTTGCTGCATTGTTGTGTATCTCATTTCAGGAGCTATTTGAATTTTCTGGTTGTATTGACTTGGCCTTAGATACAGTGATTTAAAGGGAACATTAAGCTTGAATTTTCTGAAGTGCCCTTCTTCCAGAGCATACAGTACTGAAATGTCTTGCCTGAAGCACATTTAACCTCTTTTTGCAGTGGTCGTATGAACAGCAGTGTATGGAATGAAAACATTGAACTGACATTTCTAGAAAACAGACATCATGTGTGCCATCCTTTGGGAATATTTGTTTGCCTCTCTGAAGGTTTCATAAATTGTGACAGTCAATTCACTGTATTCCAGTAGTCCTTGCAAGCTGTTCATTTCAAAAATAAAACATTAAATTCCAAGAATTCAAAGTCTCCAAGCAACCAAACCCAGCAAACAAAACTATTGTACATGATATTTACATCTTTGTTGCCTGGGAATCCTGTTGCTGCTCCACACCTCACTCCAAACACTTGCTAAAAGCATGCAATGGTTTTTGCAGCTGCCTTGCAGTTTAGGAAAGATCAAGTCACAGACATGTGGGTCAGAGAGCTGTGATTCCTGAGTGGCTGAGGCAGCCATGAGTAGTCGAGAGGTGGTCGTTCTGAGTGTGGGAGGTGTGAGATTTGTAACCCGGGCTTCCACCTTGCAGCAGTTCCCCGAGTCCAGGCTGGCACGGATGGTGAATGACGATGACCGGGAATTTAAACTGGTGAATGGAGAGTTTTTTGTGGACAGAGATGGAACTTTGTTTAGTTACATCATGGACTTCTTGAGGACTCTCCAGGTGTCCTTACCAACTGATTTCTCAGACTATCAGAGGCTGCAGAGAGAAGCAGAATTCTATGGACTCTACCCCCTGGCCAACCTCCTGAGCCAAGAACATTTGCTGAAGCCAAGGCTGGAGATCTTGGAAGTGCGTTTTTCTCTCCAAGAAATGCAGGCCTTTTTCCGGATCTTTGGTTCCTGCAGTACCACCATTGATGCACTAGCTGAGCAGATCACTGTGTTTACAGGGCAGCAGCCAGGACAGGGCTGGAACAGCCCTTTTCCTTCCCAGAAACCACTTGTTCCGCTTCCTTTGGAAAGACCCTCACATCATGATATGGTTTTTCTGTGTGGTACTGAGTATTCTGCTGGTGACCAGTTCGTGGCCAGGTACTGTCCCTAGAGTGAACTTCTCATTACAGACTTTGTGACTGTGTCTTTGTGACTTGCAGTTCATGAAGTACACAGTGTGTGCTAGCAAAGCTCATTTTAAAGAAACTGAAAGAAAAGAAATACATTTCCTTCTTTCTGTTCAATGTTATCTTTTTCTAGTTCTGAAACACCCAGTTTAATTTGTTACACTGATTTGCCTGTTCTTCAGCTTCCTAAAGTACTGTTCTTGATGTTTGTTTATGAGCGCTCTTGGGTTTTCTCTCTCTGCAATTTCCTTCTCACTCACTTAAGAATTTCACAGTATCACCTTCTACAGAATATGAAAAACACAGTAAAATGAAGCAAAGGAAACAAAGTAAAGAAGTAAAATATTGGGTGGAAGCCTAAAATCTCTACTAGCTTATAGTGCAAAAGGTTTTCATATGAGAAACAGCAAAGAATGACAGGAAGGGTTAAAAATTCCAGTGGAACTGAGACAACATTTCAGGGACTGGAAAGCTTTTGTAGAGCTTTTTATTAGGGGGAGGGAGAATAGACAGATTATTAATTATATGCTTCACAGTGGGTTTCTTTGAATTCAGAGCCAGGTTCTGTTTTCATTAAGATAACTGTGTATCAGTAATTTTTGTGATAGCAGTATCATATTCTAATGACTATTTGGACTTCTTAAACTATCTTTTTCCGGCTGTCTCTATTGTATGGAGACGGGTTCTTACTGTATAAGAAAATGTTAACCTATTTTGTCCTCTGTGGCTATTAGAATATCTGGAATTTTATGGAAATTTCATGGAAATATTTAAAAAAAATATTCTATTTGAATATATGAACCAACACAGCAGTCTTTTGATTATTTCTAAAAGAAAATAAACTTTATCTTTCTTCCAGATTTCTTTGGCTAAGCAATTAGAATAAAAGCTACTTGGCATTTGTGAAGCAATTTATATGTTTGTGTGCCAAACCTTAACTTTGTAACATATTACTAATTTTAATGGACTAGCAATTGGTTGAGTAGGTTATGGCAACTTAAGTAGTGGGGAAAATATTTCTGACTTTTTCATTTATTTCTTCAGAATTGGTAAAAGTTTCCATTTGCAGATCAATAGAAAAGCTGATCTTGAGTAATGAAACAAGTCAAATTTGATTATGTTGCCTTGCTAAATTTCTATCTCCTTAATCTCTGTAGTGACATGGACTTTTTGCCTTTCTTGTGCTTTCCATGAATGTTTGGTGTACTTGCCTGTGAACTGTGGAACAGTTTCACCTGTCAGTTTATACATTTTGTAATAGTGTTTTTACCTGACTTCTGCTCCTCAGAATGTCTGGATAGATTCTTACACTGTACTTTATATCAAATAAAATCTTTTGAGACCATGTGAAAATGATTTTCATATTTGTTACCACAAGACCTGCTGTACAAGGTAACTTTGCAATAAATGTCAGTGTTTGTAGAGAGAGATCCTCTGTGTTGAAGAGTGATGCTCTTGGGGTGAACGTGACTCTTGCTGTCCACTGCTTATTCTTATCTGAAAAACTGTTGCAGCATTACAGAGTCTGCTGCTTACTTCTCCTCTGTTGAGACAAGATGGGGGTTGTCACAGATATTTCTTAAGAAAGTAAGTTTTGTGGTGGAGGAGGGTGTGAAAGGAAAGCACTTCTTCCCCAGCAGAGAACTGGATGAACTGAGAATTACTCTCAATGAAGGAAAGAGTCCAGTCATCCTTAAAGGAAGAAAAGATATCTGAAGCTTTGGTTGCTGTAAACACAATGCAGCTGTGCTGATCTGTGCTGTAAAGAAGTAGTTCAAGTGTGTTGTAACTGTTTTCTTGTCCCTCTGATTTTAGGTATGTTTCCATAAAGCCTGATAAGAGAAAGCTGATTAATGGCACTAACGTGCTAGGCCTGCTGCTTGACACTTTACTCAAAGATGGATTTCGCCTCATAAGCACCAGGACAGCCGGCAGTGAAGAGAAGGTTGAATGCTACACTTTTGAAAGGATGAAGAGGGCACCAGGCCTTGCCATCATGGTGAACCAAACCCCAGGGAGCTCTGGGGTAGCACAGGCAAGGAGAAGCCAAGTACAGAAAGGGAAATAAGGGCTTTTGCTTCCATCTTTTGAATGTAGAAGAGGGATGTGTCAGCACTAGTGACCTTTTTTTTGTTATTTTGGCTTGTTTGAAACTGCAGCTATTGAAGGAACCAACACATTTTCTTTCAAATATTTATGGGGAAAAATTACTTTCTTGCCTTTTACTGCTCTACCCTCTTTAAGTAAAAGAAGCCCAGATTCAATACTGGGTTTGTGGATCAGATTTCAGCAATTCCGAGAGTTGTTTTTGTTTTTTCTCTGTGGCTAAAATTTACATGAGGACTCACAAAGCATCAGCCATCCCTCCCAGAAAATTGTTTTTATGTTCTGTGCTAATCTGCAAATAGCTATTAAAAACATGGTAATACATGAAGATGATGCAGCTGTCATCCCAACAGTTGGAAGTGGCTGGAGGAGGAATGCAAGCCCCAATGATTGATTAGTGCTTCCACTCACTGACTCTCTTGCACTTGGCTGAGAACAGTGTAAGGGGAACATCCCGAGCTGTGCTGCTGTGTGGCTTTGTGAAAGCCATCACTGAGGTCTGTGTGACTGTCTCTTGTCCTCTCCTCCCATCTGGTGGCATTAAGATGCTCTTTGGTTCTGAGAATTAAATTATAAAGATCTTTGTGAACAGAAGGTCAGTTAATTTTTAGTGCTTTCACCACAAAAAGGAGGAAAATGTGATGAATAGCCCTTCACATGAAAGAGTTTGTACAGTTTCAAACAAAACAGTGCAAAGGATTTTTTAGTACTTGTTAAGTACAACACTGTTAGAAGGCTTAGCAGAAGTGGCTTTAAGAGCCTTGTTAGTCCTGTCAAACCTTTGTAAAGATGAAAAAATTTGCTCAGGTACTGAGAGAGGTAATGAAGCTTTATAAATTAAGAATCTTTTGTCCTTCCATCAAGGCAGGGAAGATACAACTAACGAATCCCTGAAGTTACTGCTATCTCAGTTTTGTTGCTGGTAAAACACAGAATTCACAGAATCACAAGGTTGGAAGAGACCTTAAAGATCATCGAGTCCAACCCGTGCCCCAACACCTCAGCTCAACCATGGCATCAAGTGCCACATTCAGTCATCCAGTCTGTTTTTAAACACATCCAGGTATGGTGACCACCACCTCCCCAGGCAGACCATTCCAGAACTTTATGAGTCTTTCTGTGAAGAACTTTTTCCTAATATCCAACCTATATTTTCTTTGTCGCAGCTTGAGACTGCACCATCTTCCCAAGGCTTCGAACAGCCCAGGAGAACCACTTTGGGCTTTCTTGGCTGACCAATTAGATCTGGCTTTTCATTAGTTTTAAAATGTGCATGCATTACTTTATTGGCAGCACTTGATAAGGGGTGTGGGACTCAGCCAAATGTTTCTTGCCCTAAGGAGTTTCAGTAAAATGCATCTTTCCAGACTGGAAAGAGGTGCCACTATGGGACATGTCTTTTCTTTGGCTACTGCTCTGGGACATTTCAGCTTGACCCAAGTTCAGAAGCTCAGTGAGATCCTCTTTGCTTGTTTTAGAGCTGTTTGAATTAAGAATAATATGATTATAGGACTACATCTCCCATGCTGCTTACAGGTTATGTAGTAAATGTAAGAGTGAATGATTCTACTTCAAATGGGATTTTTTTGGTCAGTAATGTCAATGTGTTCATATTTCTCTTGAAGTAAGATATTTCTTACAGTGAGAGCCATCATTTGCTGAACAACATTCCCACAGATGTGGTGGAGTCTCCCTTGTTAGAAATTTTGAAGAGGATGCTAAATGTCTTTATGGAGGCTCTGTGTCACATGAAAGGCTGGACCAGATGATCTTTGAGTTCCCTTCCAGCCTGTCCCCACTAGTTGCTGTGCTGCTTGTTTGGAAAAGATAATGTTGATTACTGGGACAGTTACTGGCCGTGGATATTGTAGGTGGAGGGACTGGCCAATGTAAAGCACAAGACCAAAAAAAAAGCAAATCCTTACAGGGAAAGCTTAAAAAATAGACTTGAGGCTGTATTTAGACATTATGCCCTAAATGATCACCAATAGCAGTGACGTAAGCTGAGACAAGTTTCAGAACCCTTCATAGTAACAATTACACTGTTTCACCTACCACAAAAGTAGGGACTTTGTTTTCCTTGCTGCAGTAGCCACTTTGAAAATCAGTTTGGAGTCCAATTTTTTTTTTTTAAATAAAGTGAAAGAAAAGACAAAATACTTCAATTTTTAAAGAGCCCCAAAGTTTTTACCTATGCCATCATTCATGTTCCATGTCTTTGGCAAAATGAACGTTTGATACAACCATTTCAATAACATTTTATGATGAGCTGAACACATAGGTTAATTTTTATGTAGCACAGCATCATTCTATGAATGCAGTATTTGGCTCTGGAAAATATCCCAGTGCAAGTTGCTGTCATGTAAAGAACCATATGTGCTTTACCTCGCCCTTGGGTAAGTGTGCTGTGATTCTGTGCTGCTTTTGGAAGCAAAGCACATGACCATCAACAAGCTTGTGTTCCCAGAGTTCTTTAGCATTTATTCTTACTTAGCTCTGAACTGAGAAGTGTCACCTTCTGTCATTTTGTGTTCCTGCAGAGAACATGATTAGGCTCTTACACTGTGCTTTCACTTTGTTGGGGTTTTTGTTTGTTTGGTTTTTTAACTAATAGTTCCTTAAACAAGTTTGAGAGCATGTGTGTGAACAACATGATAGAAATCTGTTGAATGTGTCTGACTGATACCAGTAGGATACTCATGACTTCAACGGAAGATTGATGGAATAAATTAATTGAATTGAAGCTGGTTCTTCAAGGAGAGCACCTTACTGGATTTCTTTACACAGAAAAAGGAAGCAGGGATGATAGAGCTACAGGTGTTGTGTAGCTTCAAGCAACAACTAAATGGCAGTACTTGTGGAGGTACAGATGAAATTATGTTTATTTGCAGACAAATTAATATAAAAATAGCACTGATTTACTAGGAGGATCTTCAGCTGGCCTCCACCTTGTGAGGTTATTTATGTTACTGTAAAGTGTTGCTGAGTCAGGATGGCAAATTTTCTGTGCCCTCTTTGAAGTGGTATGCAGTGTAACCTGCAGGCACCAAGGCAGGAATTTAGAAATAGTGACCAATGTTTTTACTGCTCCTTCACCTCTGAAGCCCCAAACAAGCAGGGATGCAGCAGAGAGCAGACTGTGTGGTGTGTGCTCAGCACAGTTATTCACTCAAAAGGGAACAGCTGTACAAGTGAATTTTGCTGATAGGAACTATGAGTCTGAGTGATTTTAAAAGCTGTTTTGTCAAAACCAGATTATGTGCTAAACTGAGTACTTCCACCCAAACCTTGGCAGGCAATTCAACTCTGGTATCTCACAACACAATCTTTGCTAGACTAGCAGTGTGTTGTAGGTGACTTGGTTGTACTTTCACATGTGAGAACCAGAAGGTCTGATATCTCATATCTAGCTCTCTTTTTGATTAAATGGGAATGGGATTTTGAGACATTTAGACTTTTATTTTCCAATAAAAGTAATTTGTTATCCCTGACATAATCCGCTTCTTCAAGTCATTGCCAACTTTCTCAAGAGAATTCCTTTATTTCATGTGAAGATGCAAAATTTGCCGATTTCAGTAAACTACACTGCTGTATTTGCATTTTTATTCTTCCCTGGATTCAGCAGAAATGTGCAAACTGTTCCACTGCCTGTGATGTTAGAAAGGAACTGCCACAGTGCGGGGGCAGCCCCCTCGCTCACTCACAATGAGCTCTCTGTGGCTTTGTAACAGGCAAACACACAGAGCCATAGGGGAAAAAGAAACTGAATGGTGAGGCAGCACCATCATCCTGTCCCACTCACAGGGACTGCATGGCATGGCAGAAGGAGATCATCCAAAATGAGGTGATAGCTTACGGGATTTGCAAAAGGCAGACGATTTACAAAGACAATGCCTCATTTGCTTTATACTTTCTCATCTCAATCACTTTTCCCTCCTTTATAATTGGGTGTCATCCTGTGTTTCCATATTCAAGATTGTCAAGGGCTTTGCAAGTACACTTGTGATGCTGGTTGGATGTCCCAACAGGACAGAGGTACCACACACTTTTTCCATGCCCCTGTTCTTGCACCATGTAACTGTGCTGACTTCCTTTTCTAGTGATGACTGACATTTTGTGTGCTTTTAAGTAACTTTTTGCCTGCTTCTTCACACACTTGGAAGTCTCTCGTGTCGTACTTATCCTTTCAGGGACATGTCATTTACTTACCACTTGAATTGTTCAGTATCCTGCTGATACCAGGAAGGACAGAGTCTATTGTGAAATACCTTCTTGTTCTGGGTTTTGATTTCAATGGCAGTTCATGAGGGTTTTTGTTTTCTTTGGGAAGTGCAGTCACTGCATTCTTATAGGTTCTGCAGTCAGCACTCATGTGATTGTATAACTGATTAAGAATAGATGTTTAAATAAAGCTCTATAAATTGATACAATAGACTAAGATACTATTTAGATTAAGACTGATCTCTGTGCTGGCCATAGTACTGGGGAGTTTTCCCCTTTACTAAATAACTCCAAACCATTTATCACTTACCTTCATAATTGATTTTCATGGAAGTAGTAGAAGATCCTCCCTACAATGCTGCATATGAGGAATTGATAGCCATAGGGCAAAACAATGATGCTGGAGTAACTGCATCATGCCCAATGATAGTAACTTCTGTTAACTTTGGAGAAACTTTTCTGCCTAGTGAACTCCTCCCAGTTTCTACCTATTTGTTTGGTTTCCAGCTTTCCAATGCTCAAAAATAACTCCCTTAATCTGACCTGAGCAAGGCTGATGTGCCACTCAGTCTCTTGAGTGGGTAAGTCTCAGGTACATCCAGCATAACCTGGCTGATATTTTGTTTTGATCCACAGATTAATTCGGTACCAGAAAGCCACCAGAGTGGATCAAAAGCCCTGTTTGAGTTCACATGAAGAGTTCATAACTTTGAATTTATTTTTTTTTTAATTTGTTCCTAGATTACTGGAAAGTGTTACTAAATATTCATTGAGAAACAAGCTGGGAATTATCCAAGAAGAGGAGGGAGGCTCACTGCCTCTTGCTCCTTCGCTCTGATTTGTGCTGAACTATTGCCAAGCTTTAACTTTACAAGGTTTATTTTTATCGATTTTCAACAATAAACACTGGGAGTATCTTCAATAAAAGATTTACAGTGCATCATGAATAAATACAACTCCCTACCACATATTATATTGATCTATTCCCAAATGCTACTGAAATAGCCTATAAAACCCCAAATGAAGTAAAGTGATGGAGAACTTCCTCTCTCTAGTGACAGATGCATATGACTGTTATGTCTTCAGAAGACAATAAAAAGGAAGGGAGTGACTCTGCTTCTTTGACCATATCTTCAACAGCCCAGTTAAGTCTGTCAACTCAATGTAATCCACATAAATAACGAATTTGGGAACCAAGGGAACTGCTAGTGTGTCTGAAGATTCCCATTCTTTGAAGCTGTCTCTCCTGCTGCAGTCAGACCATAATTAGTCACAGAAGGCCTTGTTGTAACTAGTAAATGGATGGACCAACAATGATTTGAATAGTCTGGGTCTGGCTGAATATATGCCTGGAGCCCTGAATATTCTCAAATGGGTGGGTGAGATGTAAATCACTAGTCATCTTATAAAATACAAATAAATCTGACTTCTATATAAAAAAATGATGTCAGTTTTTTAGACCATAATGTAGTTTCTGCTGAAATAACCTCCTGAAGTGTGATCTGAAGTGTAAATTTTTCCAAGAATGCTTCTTCCGTTTCTACTCTGTTTTCAATCTAATGGAATGGTTCAATAATTGGTGTCCTCTTTCTGGTCAGAAGGATGATGAATGTAGCCCTAAAGGTTGGAAACTAATGTGTACAAGTCTGCTGTAGAAAATTAATTTAGGGCTTTGCTTTCTAAGCAAGTTACTGTTACAGCAGTCAGCTGAGTGCTTGCTGAAACTGTGAAGAATTAAACATTGCAACATTGTTCCATCCTGACTCTCCACTGGAAAAAAAAGGCAATAGATTGGAAACATCAAGTCTGGGGTTTTACTGGTACTTTGGAGTCAGGAACTGAGTTTTCTTTGAATTTCAAAGGCAGTTTGTAGCTTTCATTGAGGGCCTTCTGAAAAGGCTGGTTTATGGTTTTTGTTTTTGTTCCCCCAGTGATATCTAAACTGAGTAATAAAATAATTGCTGGCATACCGGTTTATTTACAATGTTGTATTCAACAATAAACAGAAGGCATGCTGATCCTTCCATCCTTTAATCTTTGTGTTTTTACTATGTCTTCAGCGTGCTCCTCAGCTGGGTCCTGGTAGAACAGAGGAAGGGGCTACATGGTAAGGGCAGGCAGACATCCACAGAAGGCAGCCAACTCACTTCCTTCCCATTACAGAGAGGAAGCAAAGGAATAAAATTAGGCTGGAAAGAGTAATGGCCTTTGTGGGACCAAAAAGACACAACTTACTGTATTGAGGAGAGGACAGAACTACTAGAAATGTCAGTGCCACTAGACAAGGAAAAGCAGATCTCACAGGGGTGAACAAATGGGTGGGCAATAGCTGCTATACAAACCTGCAAATGGCACAGAATAACATGGACAGGAGACTTAAATGTTCATGAGACTACAGAGATGTTTTATTTTTTTCCAATGTGTTAGGTTAATGCATCTATAGAATATCTTCCAGTAATAGTTTGCATACCTGAAGAAGAAAATTTCTCTTTAGGAGGTAATTTCTGCATATGTGCTGTGAAATGAAACATTGCAGGATCCAGGCATCAGATGGATTAGTCATGTTGATACCTCACACCTGGAAACAAAAGCTAAGATTTTGGAGGTCAAATAGATAAACTTTGAAGATCAGAATAACATCACTGTTTTGCTTGTGCTGGGGTGATAAGCCTACTGAATATTTCCTGGATATGTCCTGTTGGTGGCCTTTGTTTCAATGCCAGTTGCACTACAGTGAGCATTAACCCTGTCACTAAGTTGCTAGTTTTCCATAAACTGGAAAGGTATTTCCTGGAACAGACTGGTTTACCTTTTGTTTTCTCCATTGGAAATTCTATCCTTAAGCCATATAATATTCATTTCTACGTATAGTTGTTCAAAACATTAATCTTCTCAAGATGGCTCAGTAAACCATGGATCTCCAGGACACTTTAATAGCTTAAATATGGCCATGTCAAGAATGTAAGGGAAACATTGTACCTGCATGGTTGCTGATGTAACAGAAGCTTCTTCTATCATTGGTTAGGCTAAAACTGCTTTCTGCTTCTATTTTATAAGATTTATGTAACAGAAACTTCTTCCATCATTGGTTAGGCTAAAACTGCTTTCTGCTTCTATTTTATAAGCTTTGACAATTAAAGTGTGATAGTGCAATCCAGACTTCATTGTTGATATACAGTCCCAAAATCTCTACAAATACATGTTGGAAAAATGAGGGGCAATCATCTTTTTGCAAGATTCATGTTTTGGAGACTCCCTGCTGGAAAACGCCCAAGCAGGCACAGGAACACCTGAGCAACTCCTCTTTTGGCTATAGTTTGCCCTCATAAGCTGTGCTATAACAGTGTCTTGTGCTAAGCTATTGAAAGGCTGACCTCTAGAATTACAGAATAGCTTGGGTTGGAAGGAACTTAAATACTATCTGGTTCCAGCCCCTCTGCCATGGACAGGGACACCTTCCAGACACCAGGTTGCTTCAAGTCCTGTTCAACCTGCTCTTGAACAATTCCAGGGATGGGGCTTCCACAGCTTCTCTGGGAAACCTGTGCCAGTGCCTCACCACCCTCTGACCCATGATCCATGCTCTCAATAAACTTCTGAGGCAGGCTCTGAGACTGAATAGAAAAGCTGAATGTTATGGGAAGTCACAGAAAGCTAATGGAACATCAGACTGCTATGGTTTGGATCATCTCTGTTCTGTGCAGGGATCTATGCTGACTTCTTGTCTACCCTCAGGAGCAAGACAAAGCCATGAGTGAAGGATGTGATGACAGTTCTTAGATCACTTAGGGAATGTTCAGGACATGCATGCATATGTGGGTTTTTGTTCTGAAACAGGCAGTGACAAGCACGCAGGTCTTATACTGGAGGCAATGACGCCTGCTAGAAAGACCACAGAGTTCCTTCAGGCAGGGTGGGTAACAGTGTGGAAATAACTGTTTCGAAAGCTCAGAGCTCTCAGGGCTTTCTAACTTGGTAGTGATAAACTGCTGGCTGAAAACATTTCTCTGTATCCAATCTTTCAGCTGTACGTATTTACATTTCTTGAGATCTGGGACAGCCTAAGCGCATATTGTACTGGAATTGGGATGGGCTCAATACCACATTTCCCCATCCCTTTTTAAGAAATAAAAAGGGAATCTCTCTTCCACAGGAAAAGAAGCGGTGCTACCAATGATCTAAAACACCTTGTGACCAAAAGGAGTCAATGAGTGACTAAAATAGAATACACAAATCTCTGTGACAGTTGGTAGGCTTTAACACATTATAAAACCATTTCAGTGCTTGAAAGGAAGAGGTACAGCTTTAAAAATATTCCAAATGTTCTGGTGCAAACAGTCACACTTCCATGTGGATGAAAGAAGCAGGTGAATTACAATATACAAGGAAGTTGTCTTCTTTTTTTTTTTTTCCTATTTAAGTCTTGTGCTGCTTTGCTGGAGAGCATGTAGGCCTGCAGGGTTGGAAAGCCTATGGTCTTGTGATGCCTGTAGTTGGCAACTGGTATTTACTTGTCTTTAGAATCTAAGAAAAGTGTGTACAACCCTGTCTACACAAAGAGAATGCAAAGCATTGAATAGGTCATTTGCTTCAGAAAACTCATAAATACTCTTTATCAAGATGTCTGTCTCTGGAAATGTCACTACTGCACCATATCTAAATTCCTTTCCAGATGTCTGTGACAATGCTTACCATTTCAAATTAGCATTTGCAATATTAACTAATAATACTCTAGAGACCCTCATTTTCAGAAGGTAATTCTTTCTGCAGCAGAGATCAAACTTCAGCACCTTTTTGCTCTAGGTGTCAATATTTGCTGTCATTGGAAGCAGCTTTCACAGAGTCAATTAGCTTGGGAAAGACCTCTGAGATCAAATCCAGAGGTCCATGACCAACTGAACACCACCTTGTCAACTGGACCACGGCACCAAGTGCCACATCCAATCTTTTCATAAACAACTCCAGGGATGGTGACTCCACCACTGCCCTGGGCAGCCCATTCCAATATCTAATCACCCTTTCTGAGAAGAGATTCCTCCTAATGTCCAACCTAAACCTCACCTTGTACAGTTTGAGGCTATTTCTTCTCGTCCTGTCACTTGCTACCTGGAACAACAAACAAGTTCTCTGCAATTACCTAAATGGATGTTGTAGCACAGTGTCAGTCAGTCTCCCAGGGTGTTGTCTTTTCTCCCAGATAACAAGTGACAAGATGAGAGGAAATGGCATCAAGTTGTGCTAGTGTAGGTTTAGATTGGATAGTAGGAAAACTTTCTTCACTGAAAAGGCGGTTAGGCATTAGAACAGATTGCCCAGGGAGGTGATGAAATCACCATCCCTTGGAAAGCTCAAAAGGCATGTGGGTGTGGCACATGGGGATATGGTTTAGTGGCAAGCATGGTGGTGCTGGGTTAATGGTTGGACTAGAGATCCTGGAGGTCTTTTCCAACCTTAATGCTTCTGAATCTGTGAGATGCTGAAAAATACAGGAAGTTCCCATCTCTGAACCACACCTACTTCTGGTGTAGGATGTCCAGCTAAACAGAACTGTACAGAACCTTTCAGTCTTCTGGTTCTGACTAAGCACAGGAGTATTTTATATGGAACTAGTCCTACAGGATGCTGAAAGGTTATAAAAAATGATCTCTAACTACCAGCAGAGTAGAGAATGCTTGAATCAATACTGAAGGCCAGACACCCATTAAGTTTATGAGGGGTGATTCTGAGCCTGATTTGACAGTGAGGAGCTTGATTTCTCTGATGAAGCTCAAGGATTCAAAAGTGATTCAATCTTGCTATAATTTTGGTGCCACATTGTTACTGATAATTTCTCTAGAATTATGGCTGCCAAGGAATCCAAGAACTGTAGACCACTGTATCATGAAAATTCCAGCTCTGTGTGATTGGACTGCCTGGTGTTCCCAGGTCTGAACTGTGCTTCAGAAGAATTTATGTAGGATAAAATCAGGATCTGTTTTGCAAATGTTCTGTTCCTTTTCTCCATCTAATCAAGGTCTAGCCATATTAGGAGACTTGCTGACAGCCTAGGACAAGAAGTTAGAAAAGCAAAAGAGCTCTGGTCTTTCTCAAGTGTTTCTGCTCAGACAAACTAGAACCAGAGGCCAGGTGCCTGTATCACTTGTGACATCTTGAGGCAAGATGTTTCGCTTGCTCAGCCTTCTTAGAAGATACATGTGATGCTCATCAACTCAAGTAAAGTGTATCTTATGTAGACAGTCTTTAATGACACCACAATATTACACAGCAAATGTTTGAATGCTAGGGAGGTCATGCTCATTCAAGGACTATGCCCAGACATGGAAATCTTCCTAGGCTGAAGCAATTTCTCCAACCAAAGCAAAAAAAAAACCCCAAAGCAAACAAACTAGAGATGCTACGGTTTCTTAACTAAACCACACCTTAACACGTATTGAAGTGTTAATATAAACAAGTAAGAAAGTAAAGTAAGAAAAACTAATGAAGATTAGTGAAAAATAAAATTACTATCACTGCCTAATGAATGAGGGGATGGTTTAACACTGCACTTGCACAAAGAAATGCAGTTATTGCTTTCACAGGTTCTGATGAAAAATGTTCTGCTCTATTGGTATTCATGGGTACCAAAGGCTGCATGTTGTGTATCAATGCACAACACACACACACAGAAGAATTACAAGTATTCTTAAAGATGTCAGAATTCAGGAGGATATTTTTTAGTTTTGTCTATGTAATATCCAGAGGCAGATGAAAGAAGGTGTCACAGGTAAAGAAGTTTTATATAAATTATTTGGTTTTAACATGAAGGATGACAGAGAAATTCCTGTCTCAAGGATGTGCCTTATGGGGATTCACAGTAGTTTCCCCAGGCCTAGATGTCTCAAAAGAAAAGACTATTGGAAGCCTGAGAAACTCAAACACCATAAATCACCAGAACCAGGTGCTGTTTTTAAAAGATCCTACAGTACAGAAGGAAAAACTAGAAATAAAATTAGGATTCTGTCAATTACAATTAAAAATGTCCACTGCTCTGGACAATTGTTCACAAACTGCAATTTCAGAGGAAAGTGAGATACACTCATAGCAAAAGGTAGTGCTTTTCTCAGGCTACTTACTTTATGCCTGAATAAGCATAAAATAATATGATCACATTATAACAGCTCTGAAAGTTATATGTATGTTCTAAGTGGCTAGAATTACTTAAACAAACTAAAAATTAAAGATATTTCAAGAACCATGAGGAAGTCCAGAAGTTCAAACCTAATTTGGGAAGAGGAGGAAGAATATTTCAATTTTTCTGAACAGGGTAAGTTATTTGAATCTTCATCAATCTAGAACAGGCTCTTACCTATGCTGCTAATTTATGGTGAGGGGATGTAAACTCTCCTGTAAAGAAAACACAAACTAAAATAAAAACTCTGAAACCCAAAGACTCAAAAAGCTGCTTCAAACACAGAAAGAAAGCAGTTTGGGGGTAGATTGCAGAAGGGAAGAGATGAGTCCCCTTGCTGGCTGCTGAACAGCCATGAAATTCTTCAATGCTACTCCCTGCTTTCCATCTTCAGCAGATTTAGAGAATATGAGAGAATAAAGCAGTTTAAAGCCACCTTTACTGGTGCTCTCTTCAGCAATAAAATCAAGAATTTGGCATAATAGGGGACTGTGATGTAATTCACAAATACTTCATTATCTCAGTGTTCATCTACTGGAAACATAAGGTATTCCTTTAGTGTGCTTTAATGGGTACTCATATTTATTGTATGCTGACTTTACCATTACTTCAGGAAACATCTTAGGAAAAGAATATGGAACATGCAAGGAACTGCAGTTAGTCCAATAAAAGCAAATTCCACTACCCTTTGAAATCCTACCTGCAGCTTGCTTTCATCTGCTAACAGCAATAGTTATCACTGCCAACAACCTTTGAACAAAATAGTTATGTGACTTTTTTGCACATATCCTCGATTTAACAGGAAAGATGGGGAACATCTGTGGGCAACTTCCACTGGGTATTTTTTCAGAAGCAGGAGATGTGAACTTGAATCTCCTCAGGCTTCTGAAACCCAGGTTTTTTGTTTTGTGGAAGAGTCCCCTTGCCTTGGGATTGTTTCAGCTAGTTTCTTAAAACTCTTCTGAGGGATTTTAGCAAGTCATGACAATTTTAACCAGCTCTTTGTTCTGTCCCCATCTTTCCCATTCCCCCTTTTCAATTATAGCATGTAGCCTTACCGTCATATTTCTGCCAGCTTTTCCAAGACATCTGATCCCTGATTTTTTTAATGTGTTCTAGGAGTGAGAAAAAGTCCTCCAGCACTCTGGCTTTCTTGGCATCATGCTAGTCTTCTGTGCAGTAGTAGAAAACTAATTGCCACATCAGTTTCTCTAGCACTGTTGCAGCTATGGATTTTCAGCCACAAATCCAATTCCTTAAATGAAGATGAGCCATTATAACCTTGGCCATACCTGATGCAGAAAGAGAGAATTTCTGTATTATCTTGGAGCAGAAAATCCTGTACCTCTGTGACAGAGTTCTTTCTAGAATCCTCGTATCACCCAGTACTATATTTCATATAAAACCTACAGCATTCCATCACTACAAGGATATACAGTGACCATTACAAGGTATTTTAGGTTCTCTTTACAAACTCTTTGGGGAAAAAAAGCCAAAACACCAAAAATGCCTAAGGGAGATTTTAGGTTCTCTTTACAAACTCTTTGGGGAAAAAAAGCCAAAACACCAAAAATGCCTAATAAGTGTCCTGCAATTGTCAGCATGAAACATTAATTTCATTTTGAGTAAGAATTTCTTCAGTTTCTCAATACATGAGAAAAAAACCTAGAAGTATGCTGCTAGTTGCATTGGTAGCAACTTAAAACACAAACAAAACCATCTTAAAGCCAAGCAAATGTGATTAAAAACACCTAAGATTCTTGGTAAAACTGTACCTTGTTAAATAGAAGCTCTCATAGATGTGCCTGCAAGAGAGTCTCAGTCATTAAATAAGGCTGTAAAACACAAACTACAAGTATGCTGCTAGTTGCACTGGTAGCAACTTAAAGCACATACAAAAAACATCTTAAAGCAAAGCAAATGTGATTAAAAACCACCCAAGACTCCTGGTAAAACTGTACCTTGTTAAATAGAAGCTCTCATAGATGTGCCTGCAAGAGAGTCTCAGTCATTAAATAAGGCTGTACCTGGTTAGTTCACTGCCAGCTTAAAAACTTTTGTGTTTTAAACCCCTGCATTCTTGACAGAACTAGATCTAAATACTTTGCCTTAGTCAGGCTGTGAGAATGTGATACTAAAGCATGCTAGTCTTAAATTTTATCACAAGGACAAAATACTGTTCTACATTTTTACTACAGCAATTTAGAAATAAATTTCTATAAAGGCATTAAGAAACTGTGTGCAGGCATTCTAACCAAGCTTTAACATTTTTTCTACATAAAAGATAATACTTGATTCAAAGGCAGTTTTTTTCAAGCATGCACATTTTTCTTCTCCCTCCACTTACTCTATTTGTGATATGGGATCGAAAAAAAATTGCTTGTTGAGTACAATGAACAGCTGAATTCAAGCACAACTCCTTTCTAGAATCTCCACAGCAATACAACCAACAGGGGGCTGTCTGGCTACACGATGTTATCAAATCTGCAGTGAAATCCTTTTCCTTACTGTGCAACCTACCATTCATGCACATTTCCTAAAATTCGTTGAAGAACAAGTCATTGAACACATTTCATACCTCCAAAACATTTGAGTTCTTGTGCATCTTTGTCTCGTAGTATTGGAAATTTCATATTTTTCATCTGGAAGTTCCATTATAGATGGATAATATAGCTATAGTGTATTTATTGATGTGTCTGCAACAACATATTGCTTTTTGGAAAAGGGGGAGGCTCTCACATTGTCTTGATAATAGGAAAGGCATATCACAGCTGCTTCCAGATGCTAAGATGCTATATCTATATGAGCACTTTTGTGCTGGTTTCATATGTTGATACTAATCTTCTGTACAAGAAAAGAGATAAACCAAAATGTTTTTAGATTTGATATTGATTTAAAGAGCAGATAGATAGGCAAAGTCTGTCTGTAGTAGTGTCAAGAAAGGAAGAATTAGGCCCTGAATATTCCTTACACTGATTTAAACAATGGAAATGGACTTTAAAACTGGAGTGCCAGTCTCAAGAGTGAAGGGTACTTTCCTCGGTGCTGGCACTGTTACAGCAAGCACATTCAGCTGGCTGAGCTTACCAAAAACTAACCTAAAGTCATTCAGTGAAACCACCAAAGACATATGAGAGCCAGGGTAATAGTGAAGGAAACAAGAAAACTTGTTCCCAAACTTGTCTGGCTTCAGGAATCACAAGGCTCTAGAACCATAGTCTTATCTTATTGATTATTCTAGCTAGTCAAATAATATAACACCCCTGAAGCTCTTCCTTTACCTTTGTTTCAATAAAACATTAAAAATTTATACATTTGAGACTTTCTATGCTATAATTTATGCCTTATGTACTTCAAATTTTATAATACTTAAGGGTTTTTTTAGTATTTGTTGAGAAATTCCAAAATGTTTTACTTTTAAAACCACTTAAAAGTATAAAACCTGCTAACAGAAGGTTCTTTTATGGGCAATAAAGCCACATACTCACCCCGCAGAAACATAGGGAAATCAGAAGCTTTCTATCCATGTCTGACTCCTATGGCTATAAAGAGCAGAAGAAAACACTATGGACATATTATTCCTGTCTCTCAAGAGAAACTAAGCCTTCACTTTCTATGCACTGTATACTTTAGACTGAAGATCCAAAGTAGATAAATGCTGCTATAATTAATGTCATTTCAGAACTTTTGAACATAAAAGTTCAAATCTTACATTAAGAGGCAGAAGCAATATAAGAAATTTAATTTTATTTATTAACAAATACAGAGCTATTAATTATAAGTGAATAAAACATGGGAAAAAAAAAGAATTGCACCTGACAACCATTAAATAGCTTCTAACAGAAATATACTATTTAGAGTGAAAAAAAGTACTCCCATGATTATTATCCCCCTCACAGAAAGATGAGTAATGTCACTCATGCCATTGCATTTTTCCAGCATTTTTTCTTATTTCTCTTTATATTTAAATATTTTATTTCGATACACTTACAACTGCCACCTTAGCAAGGAGATTCACAGATCTCTCAGACATAAGTTTTCCTACAAATACATTTTAAATGTTTTGTTTGTGTTTTACATGAAGAATTGCTGCTGCTGTTAAACTGGTACAATAGCAGCTCACCATTTTGGGCACATTTCTATAACTTCTTTTGACTTCTGTGACAATAGGTTACAATGAAGATAAAGGGAGTCTAAACACTTCAATTCAACTATTACTGCTAATGCTACCTGGTTAGAAGAGATTTTCTCCAATACTCAAGATACCATGACTAAGGGAAAAGCTGAAACATTTTCAGATCACTGTATCCAAATTTCTAATACAGACAACTCTCATTTACCAAAGTGTGCCATAGGCACATTTTGAAGAAAATGGTGGTAGAAGTCCTAAATACGTAGGTATAAGTAACTTCATATTTTTGGAGATGCAGTGCTTACCACTGTACATTAAGAAATTGTTGCAATTTGAATAGCTCATTCTTTCTGTAAAATAGATCTTCACATGTAAATTTATTGTCAAATATGCTGAAGTTCAAACGTGTATACCTTCACTACATAGAACATTTTGCACAATGTTGATGATGTTACTTAAAAAAAATGACAAGCAAAAAATGGCACACACAGGCGTTTAATAATGAATTATATTTGCAAAATTAAACAGGGAAAAGACAGGACGCAAATCTGAGTATTTTGGAGTTCACAGGACTGCAGAAATAGACCATGAACAAACAGCACAGAAACTCTGCTTCTCAGCCTGAGCTGGTAACAAGGAAAGTTGATTGCAGATCTGGTCTTTAAAAGATGCACAGTACTCACCTCTTCCTCTGAAATCAGAATTAATAAATGCCATAGAAAATTCCATGAGGCATTACTGTAGTACAGCTACTAAACAAAAGTAGGTAAAACAGGCCTTCAAGGTATGTGTCCATTACCTACTTTAAATGTGATACTGAGGTGTAGAAACTATTATAGTATGCAACAGTTTGAAGCTCTCTTTAAGAAGTGAGGAGACTGTCAGCAGACATAACTTCACAGAGCATTTTAATTCAAATGACAACTCCTAAGAAGCTCAATGTGAACCAGCAGTGTTTTTTTCAGATGTGAGTCCTAAATCAGACACCTCTAAAGTAAAGCACGATATACGTGCTTCAGAAACAATGGCCTGGTTACTTGTCCAGCATCACGCAAGAATAAAGGCAGAAAAATAAACACCACATACCAATAGATTAAACATTCTGTGTGATCATGAAGATTGCTTCATGGTATACTGACACAAGGGGGCAAATGAAGATTGCAGAATCCTAAAGCAGGAGTTATCTAACTTCTTAATGTTTCATTTTGTGATCTTCTTGTTCTTTTTACAGTTATTATCTTGTGCTTTGTTTTTTTTCCCCCTCAAAAAACATTTCCTCCTTTGACTTCTAATTCCCCTTATTAGATGAAGCATTTTATGTACTTCCACAAAGACGATGAGAGAACTGAAGAATCTTTCACATGAAGAAAGGCTGAGTGAGCTGAGACTCCAGCCTGGAGAAGAAAGGGCTTGTGTTTGTGTGATCTCAGCAATGTTTCGAAATGCCTGCTGGTGGGGGCACGGCAGAGTAAAGAAGACATAGCCAGGCTCTTCTCTGTCCAGAAACAGGACAAGAGGCCATGGGTAAGAAATGAAGTGCATGAAAGTCCAGCTGAACAGAACAGGCTGCAGAGTCTCCATCCTTGAATATATTCAAAATTGACTGGACATAGCCTTAAAGAAACCACTCAGTTTGAACTAGAGATCTCCCTGACAACCTCAACTACTCTTACTTGGAGATTTCTTTTCAGGACCAAAATTCATGAAGTAGCTGAGGGTACTAATAGGCTTACTCTCTTCTCTGTGGAATACAACGGGGTTGGGGGGTGATTTCCCATATGAGAGCAAAAGCTGCTACTTAACAGTCTGTATTCCCTTCTGGATGTGAAGCGCAGAGCGCGCCAGTGAAATGTTAGGAATCGTCTGAGGAGTGCAAGCCTCTTTCCCTGAGCCTGACTTGTTCTCTTTGCCTCAAGCCAGATCCCCTCTGTCAGGCTGCTGCTTCTTCCAATTTCAATAAACAAACCCACCCCCAAATCTTTGCCCAATGTATTTCAATCCTTCTGATTTTCCAGTTCATCAGATCTGTCCTTCCTGTATCTGTTCTCAGCCAACCTTTTAACATTGCACTTTTAGACTAGCTGTCTTCACTCATATACAGCTATTAGCTCAGTTTATTTTCAAGCAGGCCTATCTCTTCTTGCCTTTTTATGTGAATTAAACATCTTTTTCCCATACAGTTCCTAAGCCTAGCAGAAAATAAGCGCCTGAACTGAAAACAGTGAGCCTTTCTTTCTTACATCAGGCACAGTCCTTAGGACCTCAGAGCTGCAACATGAAGTGAATTTGATCCAGCCACAGTCTCTGGCACCACCCATACAGGCAAACCTCTGGAAAATATAACTAATGTTAAGCCACCTGTGAAACACGTGAGAAATGTAACATCCTTTTCAAAGGTTTAGAAACTGAATAATTTGAGTAGGCCTTCATAAGCACTTGAAGCAGTTTTCATATCCAGACAGGAACTTTGGTTCCTCAGCTGAACTCTGGTTCTGCAAACGCTCAAACTGTGTTTTCACCATGTCACTGAACTATTCTATGCTGCTAGGGCCACCGAACAAGGCGCTCCAACCTTTGCCCTTCTGCTTCTTCCTGCTCCCTGCTATTTCCTGCCCTTGTGCCAGTGATAGGAGTTTGCATGGTGAACCAGAAGGAAGCACAGTCTTTTTCACTCTTGACACAAAGGCCAACATGAGCACAATGAAGTAGTCAGGAACAGTTTGGCCACTGGACTTTGACAAAGCCATGCAAATAGAGCAATTTGTTGCACACTCTCAAGTCTCTGAGCTCTTTAGATTCACATCTACTTATGGAAGTCTCTGGGAAAAATCCTGGGTACATTAAAATACTAGATCTGCAAGAGCAACTGGATGGATGGGCCTCCTTGAAGCACTAGTCTGCAGCATGATGAAAAAAAGCAGAGACCTTTAAGGTCTTTCCAAGCATTTCTAAGTCTTCAGTTGGCTGAAGTGTATGTGCAGGTCTTCAATATTTAGCAGTTACATAGTGCTACCTAAATAAAGTCAATGAGAAAGCTATCCAACTTTGAGCCAGATAGGATTTTTTTTTAAGTAGTCAACCTCATTTTGGTCATGTATCTTAAGAGAAATGTAGTAGGTAAATGTGCACACAAATGTTCTTTATGAAAAACTGCAGGCTATCTAATTCTGCATAGCTGTGCTGTTGAGAACTGCTGAGGTCTGAACTAAATTGGAAATTTTAGCTGTTAGTAATTTTGCCAGTTCAAATTCATAGCAGTAGTAGAAAATGAGAGTGTGATTTTTACCAGTCTGAAATTCTGAAATATGGTCAAATAATGCCAACTGATGAATTATAACAGCTTGGATTCATACTCATCTACATCATGTTTGTACCTGTGCAACTGCCCCAGTAGCAGTTCTGTGAAGGCTAAAATCAAAACAAATCTGGAGTGCAGATAAGCTTATTTTCCTCCTTTTAAAACATCTATACGATATATTAACTTGACTCTGTGATCACCTATTTGAATAGGTATGTGTATTTTAAATGGTGAAATACAACAGGGTTAATAAAATTAGATTAGCAAGTGATACTGAGTCATGATAGTGAAGAAAATAAAATCTTAAAAGGAAACACACTTTCAGATCTGTATCTAAAATTAGTGACATTTACATAACCATTAGTCTACATTTGACTCACCACACAGTTCTCGCATACAGCTTTTAAAAGGAAAGGAGCCCAAGTAATTTTCATTCTCATTGCAGCAACTTCAATCATCTCAATGAAAGATTCTCCTACAAGAGAAAAATCTTAGTGGAAGGTGAGAAAAAAATTTAGTTAATTCACAGTGAGATATGCAGTTTAAACTTCTAACCATAAAACTGTTACCTGTCTATAGCCCAGTGGTTTAAGAAATGAAGTGGTTAATAAGTTTTGTTAAAAAAACTGGAAGGCACTTTTTATATATGAGCTCTCTTTGTTAAAAGCATGACCAAATACTTCCCAGCTCCACTAATTTAGAAAAAGATTGTAAAAATGAACACAATTTTAAGCATTTTAATAAAGAAATGTGTTGACGTTTAAACCAACATAGTTTTTATAGTTTCTAATTATATAAACACACTTACCAAAGCATTGTTAGACAGGTGTAGCTTGAGACAGCTCCTTTAGAAAGTTCAGTTTTCATATAAACCAAAGCAAAATTATATATATGTCTATTCTGTTACCATCAGATACTATGAAGCTCTAAATATAATTTCTGAATAAATGAAAATACAAAAAAGCTAAGAAAGTGTTCACATACAAACAATATATAAACTCATAGCAACAAAAAGGCATAGGGAATACATGCAATGTCCTGTTCCACGACTCACGTGCAGAAGTGGCTAGCCTTACTTCAGCAGCACAGTTAATACTGGAGATATTTACAGTCTTAACACCAATATTTACGTGCTGCTAAAGTATGACAGACATCAGCATCATAAGAATGACTAATACATAAGTGGTATGTCTCTTCAGGGTGATGAAATCCTTGTATTTTTGAGGCAGCACAATATGGCCTGCACCTTTTCAAAACCCACAAACCATTATGTGCTGCTACGTTATGCCAAGGTGTCTACCATGCTTCAAGGAAACAAACACGCTGAGCTGAATGCAGAATTTTCTTATTGAACTTTAGCTTTCATGTAGTAACATCAGTTGTATTAATGAGCTACAAAATGCTTAGAAAACATCTGTCCATTTTCAAGCTATTTACTTTATTGTCACCTGTGCATAATACCTTAATGTGACATGAACCACAACCTGTTAGAAAACATCTGTCCATTTTCAAGCTGACTATTTACTTTATTGTCACCTGTGCATAATACCTTAATGTGACATGAACCACAACCTGTTTGTCTAATTAGAGGAGCTAAAGATTATGCATATATATTTCAAAGGAAAGCAAAAAAACAACATGAACCACAACCTGGACAACTGTTTGTCTAATTAGAGGAGCTAAAGATTATGCATATATATTTCAAAGGAAAGCAAAAAAATCTGAGTTATTTTCTAATCTTTTTGTCATCTGGAAACTCAGATGTGAAAAGAAAACCCCAAAAACTTTCATATGTAAGAGAATAAGAGCTAATTTCAAAATAAGTTTTGTGAACTATTCTATCAGTCCTCAAGCTATCTGTTAGCTCTGCAGCTTATCCTTACTGTAACTTTTGGGCAGACAGACTCAAAAGAGCCCCACTTAATTTCAGAGGCAAAAAAAATAGATATATAACCCAAAACAATTGTTAGCAAGAGCAGTAACTTATCTGTTATTATGGGCAGGAATTCATCTGCCCCCAGCCTAGAACTGACCATGCTGCTTTACTTGATGTAGGCAAGAGATGTAGAATTCACGGCCCTGCTAGGTATCATTGTCTTAGACTAAAGAATGCCAGAGATTTAAGTGTGTGCAGTCCTTTTACTGCTTCCCTAGATAACATGAATTATGCTTTCTTTAATGTTTTTATACTAAACTATTAAGACAAAAGCTACTTACACAGCATGGACCCAAGCATGCCACTCCACTGCAATAAGCCTTCTAGTCAGGTCATGACAAACAACTTCTGGAAATTAACAGGGCTATCTGGAAGCACAAAAAGATTTGGCAGGCCATGTCGGGGAAAGATTTGGGAATTTTCTTTTCTCTCTTCCTACTTTTGTTTCTACAGTAATACAGCAGGGCAATATCTCTAAAATAGTCCATTGCCATAATTGTGCCAATTAAAGTGAGATTGACAGTGTAAATTTACAGGTAACAGCAGCAAAATTTCTTATATAGTTTATCCAAGTAAAGATTCTAACTTCAGGAACTACATCAAAGAGTCATTTCCAATATATTTTATACATGCACAGGTCTATTTACACTTATTCCCACCCCACCTCTTACTACCCATGTTTGTTTTTAAAATCAGACAGCTAAAACAGGCAAACTAAATTAAATAGGCACAACTTACCCAACTTACCATGGTGAATTAAAGCAGGAGTGCTAAGTCAAAATAAACCTATACTGTAAACGTGTGCTCTGACAGTTGGTCTCCCCCCTGAAGAAACTGTGCTAGGCATAAACCAAGAGAAGAAAAAGTAAAGACAAAATCTGCACCATATATATGTGTGTATATATAGACACACACACACATATATATGTATAATGTGGAAGGCAAAGATAAAGATAGATGTGAGCAAAAAATGCTAGTCAGTAGTAAAATAAATACTTCAACTTTTCTGGAAAAATAATATGAAAAATATTCTCGAGCAAGAAAAAAAATTGTTTTGTACTTGTAGATTTACCTTAAAAGATTGCAAGAAAATTACTTAAATAAGACAGCTGCAACATTTAATACCTTTGGAAGTGCATCTGTCATTTTTACATTCAGGCCAAATTCTTCATTTGAAACTCCACGTGTTTAACAGATACTATTCTTTCAATTGCCTGGTTGATTTCAAGTTCTAGCTTAAGTATGGAGTGTTTTTTTCCTGTTCTATAACTAAATCCCTTTAAAATCAAACTATACACACCATGAAATGAAGACTTGGCAGAACTATTATGCTATTTTCTACAGAAAGTACATTAGTAAGAAAAGTTGCAGGTAATTCCACCCACCCATACAAAACATGAACACAAAACCTTGCATGAATTACAGGATTACAGACTGTTTGAGTTTTTCTTTTTTTTAAGTTATTTTGGAAGGTGTTTTGTTGTTGGTTTGTTTTTTTTTTCTAACTTTACTACAAAGTAATGTCCCAAAAGAAACCAACCAACTCAAAATTCAACACAATGAGACTGTATGTTTTCTACACTGCTATTAAAATAGATAGAATCTACATGGAGAATAAGCAAATTATCACTTAAAATTGAAGGCAGTCTTTGTGAGAGAAGGGGTTGGGGAACAGGAAAAGAATGAAAGGAGGAAGTCTAAGATAAGAAGTGTACTGATAGCTGAGCTAGGAATCTACTGAAATCCAGGAATGTCTGCACAAAGCTGTGTACCATTATGTTTTGGTCATAAAGTCAATATAGTTGTTACCATGAGTGCTTCTCCTACCTCCATCCTTGTGTCTTAAATCTGTGGATGAGAGACAGCTAGACAAAAGATGCAAAAGTGAAATTCCACAGAAGCAGCTCACATATACAAGTCAGGAATGCTCTTTGAAAAAAATATGTATTGGAACTGTTAAAAAAAAGAAAGGAAAAAAGAAGTGTATGTGTATATGTATTTGCCCTTGTTTTAGCAATTAGAGTGTTCCCAAGCAATGAAGGAGCCTTTCCTTGATTTCAGTATTTCTTAGTTGATTTATCAAAGACCAAGCCCAATATAAAATATAGTTTTTGGTTTTTATTGTTTATAGTTCAGAGTTTATGACAACACCGAGCCAAACTCAATCTTTTCTGACCCTATGAAAACCAGCTACAAGTCAATTCTGGCTACTATACATACTAATAAGCTCCTTAAATGCTACTATAACTACTAATAAGTTCCTTAAACCTCAATGTAACATATTATATCCAGAAGGTACCACTAGGCCTGCAATCTGACTGACAGGCCAGTGACTCAGAGGAAGAGACACCAAGGACTTTGTATTAAACACTGTATGTTGTCTCTAATACTGAAGAGAGTGATATAAAATATTTATCTCATGCCTTTTGGTAATACAAAAAAAGCCCTCCCTTGATACTTCTTGGCCAGAAGCTCTTCCTCATCAATAGTGTTATACACCATTGCTCACAACCATATTCCACTGCTTTAGTTCCTGATTCATTAATACAAAACGCAGATCCAAAATGAAAGCAAGGCTATTGCTTCACTGTTCATTGTGACCCTTTCCCAACCTTATTTCAGATTAAAATTAGAAAACTGAACATGAACCTGAAAGACTTAAGTATTCCACAGTGTAAAAGCATTACATTTGTCCACCAGTGCTGCTCTCCTTCACAGCCCTGACACCAGCAATTACACATGTACTCAGTTTTCCCAGGTTAGCTTAGTTTAACCAGAAATGAGACAGGGTTTGCATTGAGATGGCACAGCATGAAGTGGAGCATCTTTGACAAGTGTGTCCTGCTCTGTGCATTCCATTAATGGAGTAACTTACTTCTCTGTTAGACAGGACATTTTGCAGTGTAGCTTTTTGGGCAATTGCTGGTAAATTTGCCAAGCTCTCTTCTCACACTTCAGTGCCACTAACACATCACTATCAATACACACAATGGGAGTTCAACACTGGAAAATACTTTTAGGGTTTTATTGAATTAATCTGGGAAAAAGAGATCATCTCACTGTTCACTACCAAGAAATCTGAACATTCCCATTCTCTAAGATTCTCAGATCTAGAAGTGTATGTAGTTGTATCTTTCTCATACACTGTTTGCACCCCTCCCCAAGTTAAAACAATAGTTTCATTTTATTTTTGTCATATGCTTACTCAACACTGCAGTATTTGTACTGCAAACATCCTAGAATTTATTACTCTTGTTCGTTCTCAAACCAAAGATTGAGAAGTATATTATTTTACTCTTGCTTCTTTGTTAAGGAACTGTCTTTCCATCTAATTTGTGATGTCAGCAGCTTTTAAAGTGGTATGCATGTATTTTTTACAAGAAGAAAAGATTCCACTGAAATATTTCAAAACATTAACTTTAAAGGTATCAGTGTACCTTTGGCTACTATTCCATTATTATTTGGTTCAGGCATAACCTACAATACTCAGTTAATTCACTCAACTTAATTGGGGTTACTTTCTGGTCAGAGGAAGAAGTGTTAAGAGAATAAGCTATATACCTTGATTGCTCTTCTCCTGAAGGAACAGTGAGATTTTTAATTGCTGTTTAAGACTGCAGTTCTAAAAAGAAAAAATAAAATTAAATAATTTAAAAAAAATCTATCTTCCAACTAGCAATTTTGTTGCATGTGTCTGTTTGGTTTTTTAAAATTAAATAATGCTAACACAGCAATAAATTTGCCTCACTTCACCTCAAAGAGGTGCAGTAATCCACGATCAAGCTTATACACACTCTCCATGTATAATAGGTCCTCCCATACCTTCTAGCAAGCATCTGAATATTTCTAAGACTATTATAAAGCTGTGGAAAAAAATCACAAATAATGCTTTAAATAATTCTCTGAACAAAAAGATGAATATTTGAACAGAGATAACTAGCACAAATTTAGAGTTTTGGTAGCACAAACTTTGACATAAAAAAAATAAAAAATTGTGTGTTCGCTTTTTCCTGATTATGTCAACAACACTCCCCATATAACCATGGCAAAAGACTGGGAGAACTACATTTTTTGCAATGTGAAGTATTAATAACTAAAGTAAAGCAGATGACTG